AAAAAAAAAAAAAAAAAAAAAAAAAAAAAAAAAAAAAAAAAAAAATTGATAAATAGATTTTAACTTATGATTTCTTTATATATTTAAAAAAAATTGTTTTGTTCATATTTTTTTTTTTAAACGTCACATATTTCTAATCAAAAACCTTATCATATTTTAGCATTCGCTATTTATGTCTTTCATATCTTATCATTACATTTTTAGTACAAATATATTTATACTAGTAATATAAGTATGTTGAAAGTAATAAAAATGTATAAGATTTTCGATCAGACATATAAAACGTGTTTAAAAAGCATACACATAATATTTATTTATGCAATATAATAAGAATGAAACTTTAAACATTTTAATGAATATATGCATATTTTATAAATATGTGTATATATATAAAAAAAAAATCAATTCAGTATAAATAAATAATCAAAACTCTTTATAATATTTACCTGATTAAGATTTTCTCCGTTAGTTTGGTGCGTATGAATGTTGTTGTTGTTGTTGTTGTTATTGGTATTGTGGTTGGTATTATTGATGTTATTGTTATTATTATTCGGATACTGATTATGATGATTTCGATTCAAGTTGTTGTTGTTGAATTCCATTTGGTCGAAATCGTTGAAGATGCTTAGATCAAATTTCGTTGAAGTGCGTTGTTGTTGTTGTTGTAGTTGTTCTTGTTGGTCTGATGATAAATGAATTTGCAATTGTTGCTGCTGCTGCTGCTGATGCGGTTGTTGTTGTTGTTGTTGTAGTATTGAATATTGTGGATCAAATATGCTGTGTAAATCCAACAGACCGGAACTTTGCGATAGAAACGAAAGCGCCATCCGGTTTAAAAATATATTCCAATTTTCCTCCTCTAATTCTTCCTTAGTTCACCAAATGTTTTTTTATGGCTTACTTTTTTTTTAAACAATTTTACTCAGCTTTAATTACAAATCAACGAATTTATTGTTTTTGTCCACAATAACCGTTAGTACGCACTTTAAGAAACACGGGGTATTCCAGGGTATCACCCTCGGCGAGCTTTCGCGTGCAATTTTGTCAAGCTTTTGCAGGCCACTTAAAAATTAATTTGAATATGTTTTCAAGGTTTTTTTTTTTTTATTTTGTTGTAAGCAACAAATAATAAGATGTAGAAGGGAATTGGAGGTTTATAATTGTAGTTTTTTTTATTATTTACTTATTTTATGTCAACATTTTGTATTTTGGTTAATTTTAAATTATGACAAACAAAAAAAATGACACTAGCTTTTTATTTATTTTTTATTTTGTTGGTTTGTTTGTTTTTTGTGTTTTTTTTTTTTTTTTTAGCACAGCACTTGGATTTTTTGTACAACTAACAACCAAATAATATCTAGTTAGATATTTTTCACTTTTTTTTGATATTGTTTTAACAACTTTTGTTTTGTAAGTTTGAATTGATAAAAATAAAATTCGTTGTGCGTTCTTCGAACGTTGGAGGGGACGTTTGAATGCAATTAAAACAGTACGAAAAATGAATTATACAGTTTCTTGATCCCGGTGGTCTCACGCTGACGATGGCTACGTAGTAGGGTGTTTTCAATTTTTAACAGCATTTTGTTTCGCAAATACATATAGCTCGATTGCGATTGATATTCATTAGACATGCGTTGCAGTCGTATTTCAGATTTCTCCATTTATCGCTAAGTTCTTTCTCGTTCGGTTGCACAAAATTTCAATTTGAGGGGGAATTGCACAAAAAAACGTTGTTATCTCGATTCCTCCAACTTTTCTCGATCGTTCCCTTCGCACAGTGCTTGTGGAACGTTTTGGCTGGACTGGATTTAGTTATCCTTCTGCTAGTTTTTGTTTTGGTTTGTTTAAACCGCTGTCAGATTGATGCAAACATTCTAACGAGCTTGTGTTTTAAAGCCTTTGCGTGAAAATTAACTGTTAATTGCGAGAGTCTCTATGTCTCGCTCTCTGCTGTTGAATTCGGTGGCTCAACTTAAGCTTTGTGTGTGTCTGTGTGTGTCGCACGCTGTCAGATATTTGACATTCTAGTTATGTGGCGACCAAATGTTTTGGCACTTCTACGACTTCGACTTTTTCTTTTCTAGATGATGATTTGACCAATAAAAATTATTGGTTTTTCCTCGCTTATGTAAGACTTTTTATTGTTGCTGCAGGTAGAGCACTGTCACAAGGCGCACATTATAGTCGCTGATTATAAATTTGTCAATCAAATTTCGCATTTCATTTGGCGAATCTATTGCGACGTTTGCAAACACTGTTGCGCGTTCTTTATCTTACGAAAACACGCACAAATTATAATTTTATATATATTTTCTATAGATATATATCAAATATTTTGTATTTATATTTTTTGCTTAGCTTTTTCTTAGACACTTGAAGGCACACAACTATTCCAGACGCGTTACAAATGTATTCTGTTTAGCCGATGAGTGTGAAAATCGCTGCAAAGCTTTGCTAATATTTTTTGTAGCTTTTTTTCTACTTTTCTGCTGTTGCTGCTGCTGCTTCACGTTTAATCGCTGCTCACATAGACGAGAGAGTAACAGCTGCTTTCGTTGTGTGCGTATTATTTATAGCAGGCTGTTTTGCATGTGTATGCGTGCGTGCTGTTGGTAGACGGATTTGTTGGTATTGGTGCGCTGATAAAGTTTTTGAAAACCTTCTTTAGGTTTGTATGTGTTATATTTTGTTAAATGTGTGTGCGTAAGCTGTTATATATATTTGCTTGTATTAAGTTTTTTAATTAGAGCCTTTTTTAGGTTTTACACACGCACACAAATATATAAGAGTATATATTTTGTTATAAACTGGTTTTCGAACTGCAGCGCTAATTATTTAAATTTGCATAATATATTTGTTTAATCGAGTTTTATATATTTATTAAATCGACCGATTTTTATATTTTTCTTACGCGCAATTTTCAAATTTAAACGTTTTATATTTTTGTCTTTGAGACGTCCATTAATTGTTTTCTATATTTTTCGATTGTTGCCAATTTGTTAAAATTTCCTTTGAAAATATAAATAAATATATATTTTTTTATTTTTTCTATATGCCGATTTAATTCTGGTTATAGGAGCACTTTTAATCCGACGAAGCGAGGCTTCGAAAAGCCCAAAAAGACGAGCATTTTGTGTGGCCAGAACCTTGGTCGAGCGGCAACCAACACGGACACGAGGTTAAAATATCAATGAGTTGTGAGTATATTCGCCGATAGCGGGAAACTACAGATACCGTTTCAATTACAGTTCCCGAATTCAATGCAAGCCTCAACGCAAAAACCGAGCGAGCCGAGCCGACGACTGCGATGATCAGCAGAGAAAAAACAGAAAGACGCCAACAAAAAAACGGACAAGGGACGGCGAGAGATTGCGACTACGACTGCGGCGAGAACTGCGGCTACTGCTGCTGCTGCTACTTTAGCTGATTGTTGATCAAGTTGATTGTCACTTGTTGTGTATGGGATGGACGATGCTGCGACTGCGCTGCTGCTGCTACCGCTGACGGTGACGTTCGCTGCCTTACCAATTGAATACCATGTTCGCGCGCTGCGTTTGATTTCAATTGTTGTTGTTGTTGCTGTCGCTGTTTTGGCTGCTGCTGCACTGCTCAGCTGTTTTGCACGTTTTCTTATCTGCTCTTATTTTGGTTGACAGCTGCACTCTTTTGTTGTTTTCGGTTTCTTTGTGCTTCTTTGCTTTTTTATCAAGTGCTTTATTTCACTTGCACCCGCATCTGAGATGACGATACTAAAAACACAATAGTTATCTCTTTCACACACACGTGCTGCGCACTTGACTCGTAACTAAATCGACTGCTGCTGTTACGTTTCACTGTGAATGCCGTCGCGAACTACACAACAACAAATTAATTATTTCAAATAGAGCAAAATTTTCCTCGATTTATGTTGATTACGCGCGTCGTACTTGCAATTGAATTCAATTCAATTGGCTTTTATGGTTTAGCTTGTATGTTCTATTGATGTATGTATGTTAGTTTTGATATGCGTGTATGAGCTGCCCACTCAGAAGCTTTCAATGGCTGCCGATAGCTATTGTTGTTCTCCTTGTTGTTGTTGTTGCCGTTGTCGTTCGCACTTTTGGTGCGCGCGTCGATGACGTATTTTGGTACGCACACGTAATAAAATTGGCACAGGAAAAATTGGGAGAGACTTCAAAAAAGCTCGAACACTATTATTTGGGCTGCGATGGCGTCGTCGCTACGCGCGCTAATTAAATATTATTTTTTGTATCTTTCTGATTAACAAAAAGCGCCGGCGTGTAATTGTTGCTGATACTGCTGCTGGTTATGTTTATTGCTTGTTGTTGCTATCGATGTTGTTATTGCTTTAACGCTTATAAATCTTGTTTTGTTGATGTGGTTATTAAAACGCGCACAAAACTTGTGTTTTAGCCGATGGGAGCTAACGTACTGATTTTTGTGAGCGCACGTCACACGCTAATATAAATTTTAGCTCTGACTACACGCTTCCCAGCTGACTGACGTGAGCAGCTTTCTCTCACTCTTTCGTGTTCGCTGGCATAAGAGCGTGCAGAACGTTGCTCTTTGCACACGCATAAACAGACCTGCCCTCCTCGCACTTGTGGACATGCAAATCGCCTGTGGAATGCAGCATAGAAAATAAAACTTGTTGTCGCCAAGCACACGACGAATCAGGAGGAAGCAGACGTCGGGATCTCCAGCTGTACAAATTACTGCATTTTTTAGTTATTAGTTTTTTTTTTTTTTTTATCAGCTTAGCTGCAGTATTAACTGTCAGCGAATTACAGCAACAATTCATAATATCAACATTGAGCCCCAACGATCGAGAGAGCAGCAGCGCTTAAGAGCTGACTAGAGATGACTAAAAGAGCGGCGAGCGGCGAGAGGCTGCACCTGCCTCTGAGTTCTTTGTTGGGTGGGTGCATTGACGTTATTCTCACTTATTATTTATATGTGAAAATGCACATGGTACAAGTGTGTGTGTGTGAGAGAGAGAGAGAATTATGCGTCGCAAATATCGCACAGGGTTTTTTGATTGTGCTAATTTTGAGCCATAGCCGTTATGTTGGCTGTGCCCAAAATTTATACAAGCAACGGATTTGATGCTCAATTTAAAAGTTATTTTAACCCTTGCCATTTTTAATTTTTATTATTATTTTTTTTTTTTTTCAGTAAATTTGCAATAATTATTACTTAGATGACATATTTGTGGGCTTGGGGTTTTTGTCTTCTGGATTCATTCATGAACTGCACCAAATTTTGTGTTAATTACAAATTTAATTGACAAAGGCAGTCTTCAAAAAGTTGCCGAAATTGCCCGTCTGGTTTCTGAAACATCTTACTCAATTAATACATATACAGATATGGCAAAAAAAGAAAAAAGAATTATAAAACTCAGTTTGGTTTTTTTTTTATCTAAGTTGACTTTTGATGCTTTCCTCCTTGCTCATTTTTCATCAATTGATGGCAATGAGCGATGCCGAATTAAATATTCTTCAATTGTTTTTAAATTGCCATCAATAGCAAGGTCTCAAGTGAAATTAATTTATTTGCACAATGAAAGTCAAAGACGCAATTCGTTGTAATAAAATTGTTCCGCTCTGTTCTCATCTCATCTATAGATATTGATCAGAAAACCGTTTCTTTCATGTTATAAATATATATATATATATTTTGACGACTTTGGTCTTAATTAATTTGCCATGTACGATTTTTAGTGGCTTCAATTAGCGGCTGTCAGAAAAAAACTCTTTGCTAATTTATAATAATTAGTACAATTTAAGTCATTTGTTTTTGTATAGCCATTCATAATTTTGACTGCGACAAGTAAATAAACAAATTAACCAATTTTAAATTGAAAACGCGTAGCGTTAGATTGTAAGAAAGAGTTATGGAATTTAGTTTTATATATGCCATAAATTAGACATAAATTTTAAAGCAAACATAGCTTCTTATTAGCTTAAGCTTTTTAAGGAATATTTAAATCTTTAACTTTGCGCGCGCTAATTGCTGCCTGCAACATTTTACAGCACTGTCAGCTAGAAAACGATAAGCAGCAAATATATCGATAAGATAGTAAGCAACTATCGTACACCTAAACCAAAACAACGCGTTTGCAAAAGAAGGCAAACATCGCAAATAAAATAATGGAACTCTCGCCCATTAGTCAAATTGAAGACAGGAAACCAATATTAACAGCCGACGGCCTGGTGCAAACATCAAATTCACCATTTGAGCAACAAACATCAGCAACTACAACAACAACGACAGCAGCGTCAACGGCGGCGGCAGCGACAGCAGCAGCAACGACAGTAACAACAACAGCGACGACGACCATCTCACAGGAGACGCAAACATCGAACGGCATCGGAATCGGCAACGGCGGACCGCTGACAGTTGATCAGCTGGATATCGAAATATTGCCAATCATTTACGATATTGTGCGCTGGTATGTGTGTGTGCGTGTGTGTGTTGCCAAAAAATAATATTTATATAAAATGCAGCGTTAACTGCGCAACCAAGAAAATTTTCAAACAAAGAAAACGTAGCTTATATAACCAAAAATTCTTTGTAGCGTGGAAAAGGATCCCTTGGAGAACGCTGCCAAGCTGCGTGAATCGCAGGACTGCAATCATAAGGTAAGCAAACAAATACCCTGTAATTTACTCAATAACTAAATGAAAACTTTACACAGATCTTTGAACTGCAAAAACGCTTCGAATCAGCGCGTGAGCAGATCAAGCAGCTGCCGGGCATCGACTACAACAAGGAGGAGCAACTGCAGCGCCTGGAACTGTTGCGCAGTCAACTGAGGCTCAAGCAGCAGCTCATACGCAAATACAAGGATACCGAATTCTAGTTAAGGGAACAAAAATCACTCTCACAATGGTTCTGCGACTGATATTGCGCTATTTCGCCAACAACGAGCAGCTCATTCAGCGCATGGCTGATAGCTATCCGATGAGGCGAGCTGCTCAGCTGGTCGTCGCGCTGATGTACCGATCGAAGAGCTTGGCCAGGGAGCAGGGTCTGCACGAGATGACGCCCGAGCGGTTCAAGTGAGTGAAGGCCTTAAAGACGATTCTACAATGCCATGCAAATTTCCCCGTTTCTCTCCACAGATCATTCGTGAACATGTTTCGGAATAATGTCAAACAGGAACTGGAGGGCGTCAAGAAGGAGCTCAAGAATCAGAAAAAATAAATTAATTATTGTAAATTTCTTAGTAATAGACTATAAACAATTTGGGCATATAAATTAAATTACAAGAGTAAGTGAAATGTTTTTTTGTTTCAATAAATACCACGATTTGGTATTAATCAACACTGAAGCAGCAGAGTTAATAAATAAGCAAGTGTCATTGCAACATAATTATGTTTACCCAATAAAGAAGCTACTGTCATTGCAGGAGTTTGATTAACATTTAAAATCTTTAAATTTATTATGTAATTTTATAATATACAATTGAAAACACAAATGAATTATCAAGAAAAATTCACTCCATTTTTAATTGAAAAAAGATAAAATCAGCATTTATAGAAATTCAAATTTACAATTATTGAAATATAATATTGAAATTTACAATTGCATTTCTCTCAGTGTATACATCTAGCAACTAAATTGAATTTGGCAAACCTTTGTCTTTAGATTGGACGAAAACAAATTAGACATTTATTTATTAGCAAAATTTACACACAAATTGTCACACAGCATACAAAGACGTCTTACCGTGTGCTACCTGTAGCAAAATAGTTTTTCTCTTCTCTCTCTCTCTCTGTCTCACTTTCTCTCTTCATGCGCTATGCTCTAATCTCCCTATGCTTATTAGTTTCTCTCATTAAAGTTAACGGTCGCATGTCTCACATTTAGCACAACCGTCAAAATACGAGCTTAACAACTATCAAATTTTGTGTACAAAAAAACCTCTTCCGCTTCCATAGTTCCTTCTCTTTTTAAAACAGTTTGTGGATTGAAAATAACGGAGTTTTCTAGTTTTGCGTTGCCTCTGGCACGGCATCGAGGGAGCTGGTGCCGCCGTTTACGGGCGCCACGGCGGAACTGTTTAGGGGCGGTCGATTGTTGCGTTTCCGCTTGCCGCCTCGACGACTGCCCTCGCGTCGCTCTCCACTCTGTTTGCTGTTGTCCTCGCCATTGTCTTTGCTGCAGCCTTGACCCGCCGCCGAGGAGGATGCGGAGGAGTTGGAGCCCTGGCCATTGTGACGTTGCTGCTGCTGATTGTTGCTGCTATTGCTGCTGCCGTTGTGGGCCCGCGATTGCATCTTGGCAGGCTTGGGGCGATATGGTGAGGCGGCTGCCTGTGGCATCGGTTGCAGGATGTTGCCCACCGCCTTGGTGCGTCCCTCGCGGAACACCAAACGCTGGCCGGCCCGTATGTACTCCGGCTGCTTGATGAACCGGAACTTCACGCGCGCCTTGTCGCCGGTGCGCAGGCAATCGCAGGACATGCGCACAATCGAAGCCGTCTGGCGTATGCTCCCGCAGTGCACCATCGCCTGGTAGCGGGCGGAGATCGTTGTCGGATGATGCAGCACAAGGATTTCGCCTTCGAATTCCCAGCATGCCTGCGGCTTTAGCTCTGGCGCCACCATGACCATGCCCTTGCGCAAATACGTTCGTTTGATCTTCTTCAGCGCAAAGCTCGCCGTCTGCCCACATCGCACACGCTCCACATTCATCCGTTTGCGATGGATGCTCTTGATCGTGATGGGCACAAAGGTGCCCACAGCATTCGGCCCTAGCATTAGATTATCGTTTAGCTTTATGGTGCCCTGCAGACAGGTGCCGGAGACGACGGTGCCGACGCCTGGCACCGAGTACACATCGTCGATCTGGAACTCTGCCGGCAGATTCTCAGAGCCGGCCATGCGTGTGCTCAGCAGATTGAGAAACATTTTCAGCAGATCCAGATTATCGCCGTTCACATTCGACACCTGAAAGATGGGACAGAGGCGTTCGCTGACGAAATTCGTGGCACTCAGCACCACATCGTCCTGGCTGCGCACCACAACCGGCACCTTGCGGCACCCCTGCGACTTGAGCATCTTGAAGAGCAGCTTCATGTTGTCCTGCAGCACATTGGGCGGGCACATATCGATCTTGGTGACCACCACGAAGACGGGCACGGCCAAGGCCAATGCGAGACCCAAATGCTCCTTGGTCATGCCAATGATGCCAGCATTAGCACCGATCTGCAGAACATAACAGTCAGTTACATAAGTATATATACACGTAAAGGCTTTCCAATTACCATCAGCATGCCAAAGTCGGGCGCATGACCCGTCATGCCAAACACTGTCGTCTTCAGGTATCGCTCGTGCCCCGCCAGATCAATGAACGTAATCACCTTCGAGGACTTCTCGCAGATCTTCACCCAATCCAGATGGCCATGATCTGGTTTATTCACCACATTACCGACGCCATCGAAGCCGAGTATATCGTTGCCCACCGAGCTGGTGCGTCCGCTTTCGATTTCATGCTTATGCCGGAAGAGACGTTGTCTCGCATGGCCACGTCCATTGTCCAGCTCACCGTGCGTTAGAACGCCCAATAACGTGGACTTGCCGGCGTCCACATTGCCAACAACAGCCACGCTAGAAGAGAAATAGATAACATCAGATTTGTATAATTGTAGAATTAGTTAAGCATCGGGTCTTACCGTATCTCCATAAAGTCAGTTGTATCGATATGCTTGCGTATGAGCACCTGCGCCGTTTTGCCCTTCTCCACATTCCGCTCGCGCAGCACCACGAGATCAGCATCTATAGCCGTGGCCAGCTGCCGCAGCGTGCGCATCGAAGCCTCAAACTGCTCCACAGTCAGTCCACTGTCCCGGCCATCTATAGAGGGAGTTGATGCACATTATTAGAATATATACATATATATGATTATTTATTTTTTATTTCTTTAATGTATATATTGTTTTTATACGAAGACATTTTTGGATCACTGTATATTTATATGTATGTATTTTGAGCAAGCAAGCAAAGCTCTCAATCCCGGTAGGAGTTCTTGTTCTCTCTTTCGCACTCTCCAGGAGCCTGGGACAAAAGTCCACAATCCTACATGCGTGCGTGTGAGCGAGATGACTCCTGGCTCTCAAATTTATATTTGCACTTCGCCATTTACTCTTCTTCTTCACCTTCCGCCTGTATTTTTTTAGTTCTACTTACCCTCGCCCACGCCGATTTCGTAGATGGTCTCGCCGCAGCTATCAGAGATGCGATCGAGTAAACGCCGCTTGAGCAGCTCCAGCTGCTCCTCATTGGGCGCCACGAGCACATCCTTGCCCCGTATGCTGGAGTAGTCGATGCTTAGCTGCTGCAGCTGTTGTGTGGGCACCCCGTCCACGGTAAAGATATTGCTGCGTGCGCTTTTAATGCCCACGCCCACATTTAGGGGCAGCGCTGGTGCGTTCTGTATATTGTTCATGATTGGGTGTCTAACTAAGCTGGGTTACGCTCTATATCCTTGGAATCATTGCCTGACTGTGTGTGTATATGTGTGTATGTACGTGCAAGTTATTTCTGCAAGAAAAACCGAAAATAAATTCAATTTAGAATTTGTTTACCACAAAGCTGTTATTAGTTATTTTTAATGTCATCCTAACCTATCCCACGCCCATTTGCCTTGCTGAGTTATACAGTGGTTATACGTGCGCCGTGTTTGCATTTCACTTGGGTAATGAGAGAAAACAATGTAAGAAGCGTCACTTTTATACGAAATGCTGACGAAACTCATTCAGTGAGTGACGCAATAGAGTAGAGAGCATAGTGGATCTTAGTTGCTTGAGTGGGAGGGAGAGATCGCGAGGAAGTTTGCATAGCGGTGAGAAAAAAGAGTGCAACTACATGTTGCTGCGAAAGTCCCTCCAAAAGGAGAATGTACATAAAAATTATTGCATCAGTTTCAAGAAATTGAGAGACCTAGTTGAGGCGCATGAATTTTCGTACTTAGGCGAAATAACCGCTGCAGCAAAACATTCTAGTAAAGCGGCAACAGTTGAGGCGAGAGGGTGAGAGTTTCACTCAAATACGAAATAGCCGTTAGTATAAGCGCTGCAGACACAGCGACGCCAACAACATTGCCAGAGAACAAGCGAGCTAAGCAGCAACAGCAGCTGGGGACAGTTGACAAACAGCTGTTCTCGCATAAAGATGACTAGCCATTGGAGCTAGAGGCACATGTACGGACGTGCGCGTGTGTGTATTTCTCTCAATGTGTGTATGTTTGGCAAAGCATAAGACGCTGTTTGTTTATTTTGGTTCTCTTTCGCTGCTAGTTTATGTAAGCGATTTTTGTTGACGTACACAAATGAAAAAGCTCAAACATTGTTTTTGCACTTTTGTTTGCCGTTTCTAATTTTTTTGCGGTGCACCTATCAAAAATGCGAAAACAATTTATTTATAGCGCCCACACGTACGAATGTAGATACATTATGACAAAGTCAAAACAACAATTAATTCCTGCGCCTTTTCTTTTGTTGTGCTTTCTGGTATTTGTTTTGTGCCATTGAATAACAAACTGTAGATCAGCTGAGGGGAAATATATGTATGCAGATGAATATTGGATGCATCTGAAAATCATCCAAATTGCCATTAAAAAGTGAAAGGGTTGTTTCATTTTTTTGTTGATTCCACAAACTCCTGTTGCGGGCTTTTGGGCTCCTGCATGAACCCCCGCCAAGTTTTTCTTCGTCCTTTTACAGTTACTTACAGTTCATGCAGCACTTTGTCGTATTTGCTGTTGCGTTTGTACTTTGCACTATGCACATTGAATTTGGATAAAAGTGCACTAATATTACATTAAAGAGTACATAATTAGTACATTGACTACGAATTGTTTTTCGTCTGTCCAAGCCACGTACGATTTTGTAGCGTTGCCAGTGCGCCAAAATACGCAGTGGCAATACGACACGGAACTTATCGATAGCAAGTCAATTGCAATCGACTATCGTTATCTAACCTGACCGCAAAGTTTTAAATTAACAAAAGGGGAAGTGGTTAATATTATAAAAACCACAACGCATGAGAGATTAATATAAATTAACATTACTTTGATTCGCTTTTAGCTAGCTTGTGATTAATTTTGTTGTTGTTGCTGCTACGTTTTGTTTATATAGCATTGGCCCTATTTGATAAGCATTCTTCATTACTGGAACCTTCAGAATAATTTTATACATATATCATGTATTTTGTAATTAAATGAACATAGTTATGATTCACGGCGAATTTAAATGAGAACACAAGTTTTGCTCGCACACACACACACACAGTTTGTATGTATATATACAAGTGCGCATATACATTTTTCACCTTTGCCTTTTTCGCTCACTTTATTATGTTGTTATATATATATTTTCCTGATAAGTTGCAATCATTTGCCAATTGTATACTTGAAGTTTCCATTAGTATTTGCAGCGACGTAATTGTCATTTAACTTGAGCGATTTTAGAATTCGAAGATCTTTAAACTTCCAAACAGCTGTGCACAGCGAGCGAAATGCCAAAAATTTCAATGTCAACAAGTTTTTTTTCTTGTCTGCCGTGTGCTGATTCTTCTGCTTCTTCTCGCTACCGGTCAAGCCATTCGCACCTTCTCGCTCTCCAGTACGAAAGGCGTTGCTAGGCATAATCGTATGGCACACACACACGCACACACTCGGAGTCAAACATTGATGTAAATATACGTGCAAGTGTGTGTGTGCTCGTATCGCCGGCATAACATGAGTTATGCAAGCCAGAAATAAATGTCTTACAAAATGAATGTGTTTTATTTTTACAGTTCTTTTTTAATATATATGTATATGTATGATAGTCTAAAAAAATAGTTTACAAATTATAAAAACGTTTTTAACAATTTTGGTACAATTTTTATCGTGTTGCATCATTCGTAGTGATTTAATCCAAAAACATTACATGCGAATTGGTGTGTGTGTCAGAGTATGTATGTGTGAATATGGTAGGGCGGGCAGCTGAAGTTGTCTGGCTTTGTTCTTTAAATACATATGTATGTACATATCATATGTAATAAAGCTCAGCTAATTAGGGGTGGGTGGGGGAAAACATAATGCTAATGCTAAAAATATATTTAACATGCTTTCCTTCCTATTCGGTTGCTGCTCCCGCGCACACAACTGGCAATGACTTCTCTGGAGTGTTTTCTTTTTGTCGTCTTCGTCCATCACTTCGCATATGCATTCATTCACAATATAAGTCTGTGTGAGTGTATATGTGGAAAAACTGTAAAACTATGGATTTGTATATGTACACACATATATTATGAATTTATATATAGACACATATGTATATACATATGTATGTAGTTTGTGGGTGGCAAAACAAGAGACTGCGGCGGCATATTAATGTGAGGGGAAACGGACATGCTTTCATTTTTTTTCTTTAGTGGAAACGGGCTTGTTTTTTGTGTAGTGGAAACGTGCTTTAATCGCTTTGCAAATACATTTTTGTTGTACATTTTTAGTTGTTGTTGTTACTGCTACGGCGCGCTTCCAACTATAACTAATTTATTTAGTTGTTTTTATAATTTTTTTTGTTGTTTAAGTTTTGAAAATACCCTTAATATATTAATATAATTATTATATTTTATGTGTTCTGTTCTCAGCGCTCACTTGGGATGCCTTTATTTGTTGTATAGTAATTTTTTGTTTTCTTTGTGTGTGTATAAGGTCTGGGTGTGTGTGTATGTATGTGTGTAGCATGACCCCCATTTGAAAAGAAGTAGTTGTAATTGTCGTCCACTTGCTTCTACTTCTGTTCGTATGTATGTGTGTGTTTTTCGTTTTTAATGCGTTCGTGTGTGTGTGTTGTGTAGGTTGATTGGCTGGGTTTAGGCAGACGCCGCAACTTCACCAGATTTCTTGGCTGCATCAGCCGTAGCGGTACCAGCAATGGCTACCTCCTCAAAGTTCTCAACCAGATCGGGCACATCATCGTCGCCGGCATCCGCCGATGCACCAGCACCAACACCAGCCGCACCAGCGCCAGCCGCATTGCTCTTGCTGGCAATCTCAGAGGCAATCTTCTTCAGCTGATTGATGTCCTGGGGACCCAATTGCGTGAGAATGCCGGGCAACATCTCAGAGATCGTCTTATTCTCGCCATGGCCGGTAATGGCGAACGTGTTGGTTGGTAGCGATGCCTGCGCCTTTGGGTTGTTGAAGTGGATGACGGTTCCATCGTTTTTGATAATATTCACTTCCTCAATGCCGGGTATGGTATTGACCGATAGCTTTTTCAACGATGACTGCAACTTCTTGTCATCAGTGGCCGGGGTCGAGTGCACAATCTTCTTCTTGCGACGTGGGGTACCCTTGCCGCCAATGCGCACCTGCGCCTGCAACTTCTTCAGCTTCTCTGGATTCATTTCTGTAAGAGACACACACAAGGCAGAGCGCGCGCACAAATTACACACAATCGCCCAAAGAAAATGTTGCACAAGTTTAGTTTTTTGGGGAAAATTTTTGTTGTAGAGTTTGTAATGTTATGAAATATACTGTTGAAATTACTTTGATATTACTATAATTTAGCACAGAGCTTAGCCCGAAAAACACGTGCGCCCAGTTGTACTCAAATGTCAAAAAGAAATCGCCATGATAAAAATGGCAAAGCAGTATGTATAAGTGTGTAGTACTGTTAACAAACACTAAACTCGGTGTTTCATATCGATGAAATGTTATTAACTCCATAGAAATGGCTAAGCGCTTATTGTGTAGGCTTCAAAAATACACAAAAAATATATTTCAATTTATAGTGAAAAGAAACCAGTAAATTTTCTTAATTAAAATCGTGATTTTTGCAGTTTTCTTTGCCCACCAGCTATCGATAGGCAATCAGCTGTTTTCGTGGCTACTAAACACAGCGCGCCAATTAAGTGTTGGCTAGTGCTGCAGCGGTGCTGGGTGTTTTAACGCACGGCTACGCTCTTAGGCTACAAGAGTTAAGATTAGTAATCGCATTTCTCATAGATAAGATAACACAAATTAACGAGTTGATTTAATTCAACGTTCTAACCAAGTACGCAATCACGGTGTGTGCATATACTAAGCTTCGAAATCCTTCACGTGTGTGGAATTTAGTGTCCAAACGCCCGTCTGAAAGTCAACAATAGAAATTAACTGCAACAAGTGGAAGAGTTTATAAATTATTAACCAGAAATTCAATTTGACAAACAAAAATAAAACCGCCTGTGTTGCGTGCACCACGATAAGGCCTTAAACGTAAGTTTGACATGCATTGAATATATAAAATTTTGCAATTTATTGCCGTTCGCCAATTGCAGTGGATTGGGATAGTGATTTTGATAGCTTTGACGATTTCGCCATGGATTTCTGGGGGATTTTCATGTTTTTCCTGTTAACGTTCCTCATAATGAGCTGTTGCGGCTACTGCTGTACGACCAAACGTCGAGGCACTGTGCTCTCAAGTAAGTACATGGATTTTCCCTTATTCAAATTAATAATCTCGGTGGTGTATTGACATGACTCACGCATACAGAAACAGAGTAGCACACAGACATATAGTATTTATTCTAGGCATATGATGTGCGCTGCCTTTGATATAACTTCTATGATTCATCATATTTTCATTAAGCCGTTGCACGTAACTCTACAAATCTTTTTTTTTTTTTTCAATTCGCTTTTATTGACGTCTGTTTGAGTAAGTTTTAAATACCATTTTTTTCAACTCGTTTTGCACAGTTAGTTTTTTGTTGTTTTGCGCACTTTCTTTGACCGGCTCATTCGTAAACAAACACAAGTTTGTGATTTTTTATCTGATTTAAATCAATATTGGGAAATCTCAGTATATTTATCTATGTATATTTATATATGTATATATATGGTATTTTATATTTATATACATACATATATTTATATTGTCTGCAAGCCAATGAGTAATATCGTTTTAATTATTATGTTATATCTTATCAAAAAAGCTTTAATGTGACTTTCAATGTGTCGCCTGACAACGCGTTTTGTTATAGGTTTATGTTTGTTTATAGTTTCTCTATAATTATTATTAAATTTTAAATATATTTATATTTCTTTTGACTATATATTTAAAACAATATAAAAGAGATAATGAAAAAAAATATGTATTTAAAAATTAAAATAAAAAAATGCTAATTAACGAAACTATAATAAATTTATTTATTTATTTTTTAATTGAGGAGCTATAATTATTGTTTTTTAAATGTGATACTAAAATCTTCCTTAATATTTTTTTTAATTATTAAAATTTCGAATTAAAATGTATTTATAAATGTGATCATAAAATAATGATTTAATGATGAACTAGCTATTAAAATATACGTACAGCCCTGATATATGTTATGTATGTCAGTTCTAAAATATTTCCCCAAACACAATTGCCATTGAACTAGAAAACCCTTTTCAAAGTGTTCGCATATGAATTAATTATTATTTCCTATGCTTAAAAACGTGTAGGGTATTATCAATAAATATGTATATATATATACATAATATATACATATATCTATAAATATAACATACATACATATATGTACATATGTATATATATTTTGCGACTATAGATAAATTAAAATTGAATAGAATATGTGGGAATCGAATGCGTATGTAAAACATTATTCAGTGCAGGTTGAACTTGCAAAGCTGATTGAATAGAGTTTTTTTACCTGAAGTTATTCGAGCTTGTGTGCTGCTCACTATGGTTTATATATATTGCGGAGTTTGGATACCCATTGTGGTTGTCTTCTGTGTTTTTATGATTATTATTATACTGCGCATAATACGATCGCGTCGTAATCGAGTACAGGCAGCTACAGTGATCTCTGGCGGTAAGCGAATAGACAAGAGTAAAGAGGTTTTAAGAATAAGTCGTGGGTTCCAATCTAATCACTCGAAACGATAAGGAGTATAATATAATAATAATAATTATATTTATAAATTTTTGTTTCTTTTCGATGGTCATTTATTGAAATTTCGAATATTCTTCATAATCGTGGAGATTTGCGTATTTTATTTTGAATTACTTTCGACATAGATTGTTTTCATAGATTCTTTGACTGACGTCAGTTCGTTGATGAAGCATAAAGATCTTGACAAATCAGTGTCTGTTGTCAAATATCAAATATTAAATTCAAGATATGACTACAAATTCTTATATTACCCACATATAAATAATATATATATTTTATATAGTTAATCAGTAGCTCAGGTCGATCATCTTTTCCTATTCCAATTAGCATTATATTAAAACATTCTAGAAGCTCTGAAAACAAATAGGGTTTCCCTATAGGTATATAAATATGTATGTAGTAAATAAATCATACCAGATCCTTAAGCCTGCATATGTATTTTAAGGTCATACTCATTATATATGTAACATTGATATATTCAACACTTATCGCCTGACTTCTATTTGACTTTCAATGTCTTCCCTGAAGTTGTGGGAATGTCCCATTTAATTTGCGATTCTCTAATTGCTAAAATGATGTACTTATGTTGATCATGCTTGACGTCAGTAGACTTTCTGCGGTAATCCATATAAATTTCGATTATCGCCAGCGATACGAGATGGTCAAGGTCTCAAAGCAGATACTATTACGGGATTCCTATTGGCTGAATGAAGCTTTGGTTAAGAAATTAAATGAAGTTCCACATAAAAATAATATTAATAGTTATCATAATCAGCATGATCATCATCATCATCGTCATCATCATGAACATTAGCCGATCCATTGACGCAAAACCCTGTTGTAAATTCTCTCAGTCCACTTTAGTATTTTATTGGATTTCAAAAGGTTCCTTAATCAATTTCTATTCATTCATACTTTGGTAAAGGGTATTCTCATTTTGTTGTGGAGTGTGTGAGCATATATGTGGGGAATAAGTAATAGAATAATATATAGCAGAATTTCTATTGATCTACTATATCATAGACTTTGTCATATACTCGCTATAGAAATATTAGCTCAAACATGAATTTTATGAGAGGTTTGTTTACCGGGAGTTACTTTAATAAAATCTTTCATTTCTAAATTTTTATTTAAATTGTAGTAAAAGTCTATCATATTTATAAATATATACCATGGTCGGGTTGCTGTATAAAAAAACCTTTGTTTTTATTTTTTCAAGATTATATATTAATATCCAGCTACCTTTATATATATATATACTTTTTTTTTTAATATATTTTTTTTTAAATATTTTTTTTTAAATATATTTTTTTAAATATATTTTTTTAAATATATTTTTTTTAAATATATTTTTTTTAAATATGTTTTTTTTAAATATATTTTTTTAAATATATTTTTTTATATATATTTTTATTTAAATATATTTTTATTTAAATATATATATTTTTTTAAATACATATATTTTTTTAGATATATATATTTTTTTAAATATATATATTTTTAAATCTATATTTTTTTTTTAAATATATATATATATATATATATTTAATTATAAATATTTTATATATATTTATATTATAAATATTTATTTTTATTTTGTATTTGTCACATTTTCTATATATATAACTCGGAAATTCTCTAATTTAGCTTTTATAGCTCCGATCAATTTTAGGGTATTTAATCTTCGGATTATCAAGAGATTCTTCTTGTTCTCCTTTTTGGTTTTTGTTTTTTGTTTTTGTTTTTTTTTTTGTTATTGTTTATTATAATATAATAACCGTGACGTCGCCAGCGTCTACTTGGTTGGCCGTATCTTATCTGATAAACGCGTCTCTTGTGGTCGCTGTTGCTTCAAGCCAAGTTAACGCAACGATTGCTTTCAAATAAGCCATAAATACGCACAATGGCATTACTTAGCGAGCAGCTTTAAAGAAATGCACAACGCATAGAGCCCGAAACAAAAAGTGAAGAACAATTTAAACAATTTGAATTGAAAAGATTTTAAAAAGAATATTAATAACAATAAACATAATTATAATACTTAATTATATGTGTAAAGCAATATTAAAATGGTGCACGAACCCACCGATTTGGACTTGGAAATCTCAACAATAGTCCTGATCTGTCTATTTGTCATTGTCCTTGTGTGTATTCTAACCGTTATAATCAGGAGCTGTGTGCACAAGCGAAGAAAACGAAACGGCTATTCAGTAGACAACTGTTAGTGTTTAGTTAACTTGAATAGAAACATTAAGTGTGTAGCTGTCTCTCTCTCTCTATATATATATATGCATATAAAATATATAATACAACATAATAATGCAAGTTTTGTTCTAGTCATTATATATATTTGTGAATGATTATAAATATACTTACGCAAGTTTTGTTTTTCAAGAAAAAAGAAATACAAAATAAAACTGTGAAAATTATAAAAGTGCAAAATCATTTTGTTTCAATTTAAATACAATTGTAATAATTAACAATTTTGCCACATCCAACACATGCTCAAAGCTTTCTGGTATACAGAATTAAGATATAAATAAAAAAAGAAAAATCTTAAATGTCGAATATTAGTTGAACTAATTAGAGCTTGAAGCTAATTATATATGTAATAAGATAATTAGGAATTTAGATGTAAACAATAAACATTTCAATTAATATTTTACAATTTAAGTTCTTATATTTTTTTCTGTATATTTATTTAACATATTTTATTACGTTCTAAGAGTTCCGTTGCCTGTTTATGTGCTCGAAGGGTTCTAGGGATCTCGCAGTCTCAACTAGAGATTTCCTACTTGTTTCTGATTGGTCTTTTTTTCTAAGATAAGAATTTGCACAAAATATTCGCAGCTTGGTTTATGTCGATCTCTAAGAAATTTAGTTACAATTGTTGTGTTGTGCTTTCAAGTGCTCTGAAAATGTCGGACGACGAATATGCCCGTATTGGGAGCATTATTATTTTATTGATTATAATGTGTTGCTTGCGTTTAGGCCTAAGACTTGCAATAAATTCAATATGTGATTCTCTATTTAAGCCACGTTCAAGTGATGAAGATGATGAAGATTCACTATTGACATGTAAATATATATAAGTATATATATATATCATACATAAATGTTTGATATATAATATTTTCTATGCACGGTTTACTATCGAATTATTTATTAATAAATATCCTCGATCATTATATTAATTCTCTGCTAAGTGTTTGTTCCGCTGATCATTTGATTATTTTTTACCATAGAAGAAAAACTCAGACTTAGTAGAATTTCTGCATAGTTGTGAGATTTCATTCAACATATATATATATTTTTATATATTTAAATAAAAAATTATTTGCTCAATTATAAATATGATTTCTCTCTTCTGTTGCTCTCGCATAGAGTATCTGTTAGTCGAAGCGACTTCTTTGATTTGTACAGCTTTTGATTTATTTACGGCTATAAATTTGTGATTATTTACGTCTATAGTTAATGCTTGCACAAGTCTTCAGTTGTTTATCTGTGCAAATAATGAGCACAATTCG